ACACTAATTGCAATGCCTCTGCATCAGTCGAAGAAATTCAATTAAAAATTAAATCTAAAATACTCAACAGAAAACCAAGAACATAAAAGAATACATCTTTCCTTTATAAAATAACACACACACACACACAAAAAAAATGAGTGCGCACAGTGATATAGGGTTCGGAATTGTAACTGTTCACAATTTCAGCAGCGGATTTGTATTTAGTGACAACTTCAGGAGAGGTGAGATCCAACTCCCTCTCCTCTCTTTCCTCATCTGACATTGTCTTCAACCTTCAAAAATCGAAGAAAAAGTAAAATTATTTTTAAGGGAAAAAATAGTCTTCAGAAATCAATANACACTAATTGCAATGCCTCTGCATCGGTCGAAGAAATTCAATTAAAAATTAAATCTAAAATACCCAACAGCAAACCAAGAACATAAAAGAATACATCTTTCCTTTATAAAATAACACACACACACACACACACAAAATGAGTGCGCACAGTGATATAGGGTTCGGAATTGTAACTGTTCACAATTTCAGCAGCGGATTTGTATTTAGTGACAACTTCAGGAGAGGTGAGATCCAACTCCCTCTCCTCTCTTTCCTCATCCGACATTATCTTCAACCTTCAACAATCACAGAAAAAGTAAAATTATTTTTTAAGGGAAAAAATAGTCTTCAGATATCAATAAAGGCAAATCTACATGAATTGAACAAAATTGAACTCACCCAGGATGGTGAGAAAATTAGGGTTTATCAGGTGGGTTGGCTGTTTTAGGGTTTGAAGTCGGCAGTGGGGGTGTGAATTTGTGAATTTATAGACGTGTTGGGTAGGGTTTTGAGGAGTACTCCGCTTTAAGAAAATGGTAAAACATAAATAATTAGTGGATTTCCTTTAATCGAAGAGGATTTTCTAAATCACTTGCTTGAATTTATCTTGAAGGACTAATACATTTTTCTTCAAGAATTACTATATTCAAGAACTTTTTTGAATTTCTGTAAATAAGTGAAAAGATATTGATGTCGTGTTATCGGTGCTAATATTGGTGTCTATGTCTAATATTTTACATTCTAATAATCGACTGTTAACTGAAAAGAAGAAAATAATGAAAATGGTATGTGTGTCTTGGAGTTTAATAGTGCATGCATGTTATTGAAAGTGAACCATTTTAGTTAGTAAGCAGGTTTAATGTAAGTTTCAGTGTTTACCGATTTATGCCACACTTCGGTTCGAAGTTCAAAACGGCGATTTTTTTTTTTATTCATATTGGGATGATGCATAGAAAAATAATTTCATAATTCATTTTTTACCTTAAAAGACTCACATAAATCACGAGTTTGAACTTCGAAATGAAAGGGATAGAATTTGGTGTTTTATAAAAAATGGAATTGCAC